CAATTGAAATTCTATGGGGAAAGGTTTTATGTAAAAACAGTTCACAGGACTAAGAAATTGAAGACAAACTAAAGATTGGAGGGTGGGGAACAAAAGAAAAGAGACAGTTTAATGGCAGTACTCCTCTCATAGGGAAGAATCTGTTGTTATTTTCCAAATGAATGTTAGACATGCGACTTGGATGATCATGTATCTTACTTGAGAAAAATGTTAATATCTGTCTTAAATTCTTGCCACATCTTAATTGAGAACGTCAAGGAATTAAATCAATAATATTTTAAAGAACACTAAAAAAACCTCTAAGAGTATGGAATTCAACATATTTCCTGAGTAGCACAGAATTGAAGATTAATGCTGACTGTAACTCCAAACTTTCTTCCTCACCTTTCGGCACCTTTTGACACAGTGGCCCACTCTTCTAAAAGCACATTTCCATTGGTTTGCACAATATCATATTCTTCTGGATTTCCTTTTTTCTCTCCATCTGCTCTTTCTTAGTCTCTTAGGTACCCTTTCTTTCTTCTAAATGATGGGATTCTTCAATATTTTGTCTTAAACTTTTTTCCCTTCTGCTTATGTTACATGCTTGCCTAGACAATTTCATTTATTACAACAGCTTCGACTATCTTCTCTCTAGGCTCATGACCCTGAAACAATGTACTCAGCTCAGTCTTCTCTGTTGAGCTCCACTAAGTCCAATGTTCTCCTCCTGGGTATTCCACAGACATCTAAAACTCGACGTGTCTCAACATTGAACTTACTCTCTCTTGTTATTCAAACATTAGCCTCACCAATATTCCCCATCTCAGTATCTATCCAGTAACCCAAGTCAGAAACCTGAGCATTTTTCCTGAAACCTCCCATATCACCAATCACCAAGTCCTGAGGGTTCTACCTCCAATTTATAACTCTACCATGCCCACTCACCTCCACCCACACTGCTCCTATCCTAGGCCAGGATGCCATTATCTCTTGCTGGATGGTAACAACAGTCTCCTGACTGATCTCTTCACCTTGTCTCCATTTATCCAATCATCTGCCTTTTCATCTATCCTTTTACTCATTGTTTTGT